AATCTGTGCACAGAAAAATCCATCTTTATTTAGATAAAACCCTTTTTTGGTTTAGGTTAAATAGATGTAAATAGCGCCTCAAAGAACAGAGGCATGCTCTGTGGGATTCCAGGCTGCCCCTCAGAAGCACACTGCTGATGTGTCTTAAGGTTGGAGTCTGTGGGCACCGGAACAAACTTTTGCTTTAAACCCCGGAGGAAGACAGGAAGAGGAGAGCTTGCCTCTTATGCTAAACAAACAGCCCTCAGGACGGAGACCCCAGAGTCACCTCTCCCTCTCCCCGTGGCTGGCAATCTCCCTCTCCCCGTGGCTGGCAAAGTGTCAAATGCCGTACAGCCTAGGGAGTCTGAGATCAGATTATTTATATTTGGTCGTCTAAGACTTCGTAATTAGCCTTCATCTAATCGTTGGAAGTAACATTTTATTTTTACCACTCTCAGCCTTGTCTGTACTATATATTCTGCTTTCTTTGGGGTCATGAAAACCTCCGGGAGGCCCTTTGAGAACTGAGAAGCCAGAGAGGGAAGGAGAGACTTACAAAAGGTCTACTCTAACCTTCTCGAAGCATCCCCACAAAGAGAGCGCCAGTAACAGCGATCACGTCGCTGGGGCTCTGCTAATTACCAGGAACAGGATGGACTCCAAGAGGTGGCAGAGGGGCTGAGAGAGGGGTGGGGTCCAGGTCAGCAAAGGCGACAGGGCAAGGCTGTCTTCCCCTGCGATCACCATGGGAGGTAAACGTGGCCTAGTCCCTGATTCGTGAGGGGCAGAGAGAGGCCAGCAAACAAAGCTGTAAAAGGCAACTTTCTTAACAAAGTGGCAAAAGCAATAGGTCAAAAATTTCGAACATTATAATGCCTGTGGAGGTTTTATGTTGATGACGTAACTGAGAAAGTGCCAAGGTATCTGGTGTGAAATAAAACTGTATAAATGCTTTTAGGGACCGTTTCAGGGCCTGAAAATACTAGGGGAATAAGTAAAAACTTCCGTTAGCCTTATTCAGCCACGTCTCATCAAGGCTATTGACAGCTTTGTTCCCTGCCCTCTATACAGAAAAGGTAAACAAGTCCCAGAAAAGAATCCTTGGTCCATAAGGAATCATCTCAGTAGCCTGTGGGCCCTGGAGGAGGCCCTGCAGGGGTGAGGGTCAGGGGATGGATAGGTAGGAAGAGGATCTGTATTTTTTTTATGTATTTATTTTTGGCTGCGTTGGGTCTTTGTTGTTGCGCGTGGGCTTTCTCCAGTTGCGGTGAGTGGGGCCTACCCTTCATTGCGGTGCGTGGGCTTCTCATTGCAGTGGCTTCTATTGCTGCGGAGCACGGGCTCTAGGGGCCCAGGCTTCAGTAGCTGTGGCTCGCGAGCTCTAGAGCACAGGCTCAGTAGTTGTGGCACACGGGCTTAGTTGCTCCGCGGCATGTGGGATCTTCCCGGACCAGGGCTCGAACCCGTGTCCCCCTGCATTGGCAGGAGGATTCTTAACCACTGCGCCACCTGGGAAGCCAGGATCTGTATTTTTTTTTTAATGAGTACCTTTGTCTTTGCAATTCCACGGACTCAAATCCTTTCATTATAAAGGCACAAACTGAGCTCCATTTAGGTGCTACGTGAAGCAAGAACAAGGGTTATCTCTGGCCTAAATGTTGAATACAGCAGACCAGATGAGATCATCAGAATTGTAATCCTGGATCTACAGTAGCCACCCAACCTCAAGCAAAGCACTCAACTCTCCCTTCTGGAAAATAGCTCCACCGTGCTTGCTCAGGACTGTAACATTATGTGCTTTGGGGGATTAATCCAGCCTAATGGTCTCCAAGTCTAGCGAAGCTATTTACGTTGGATACAGAAGTGCTAAATACAGAGACCCATAGCAGAAGGCCAACCGAGGTGGGAAGCAGTGCCACAAACTGAGCAACACAAGTGTCCAGACTCGGACGCTTGGCTTCCAGGTCATGTTGGGGACGAGGGAGGTGAGGATATTTCTCTGTGTGTGTGTTCCCAAGACCCCTCGAATAAAAGAGTAGCTGCCAAAGATGCAGGGAGGAGGTACCCTATAAAAACACACTCAGCCATCTGCTATAAATTCATAGGGCAGCGGGACCTGCCCATCAAGTCCAGACAAATGGCCTTTTCCTTGAGAGGGCAAAGGCACTGGGGCTTTGTGCAGAGAGATATTAAACACCTGCCAAAACCCTGCTATCCAAAAACAGCACTCAAGAGCTTTAAGTTAGCTAAGTTAGGTAACAGGACAGAGTTCTCGCACAGTCTATTAAAAGGCTAGACTCAGCTCAGTTTTCCTTGTACTTTATACTACCTTTGATTTCTAAGACAACAGATGTGCAAGGCCGGTTTGTTCCAACAGAGGATAGCGTGGACGTCATGAGAGCAGGTGAGGAAGAGGGCAAGGGGAAGGTGGAGAGCAGGTAAGGAGTGGGGCAGGGTGCTCTCTTCTTTCCTACCCACTTTGGCCTCTACTCAGCAGAGCTTGCTTTCTTATACGAAGGCTACCACATAGGCCACTGTGACTGATTTATCGGTATCAGCCAACATCTGCTAAGTTTTTACTGTAACACTTGTTCTAGAATTTCTGAACACCTGTGGCTAAAGCTTTGGTGGCAGGTGAGTAAGGCTGGTTCTTGAATGGGCATCTGGTAAGTGGCTACCGTGGTCCCAGAGAGGCCCTGGATCTACTGCCAACTGGAAGCCAGCTTCAGCTTCCAGGTACCCTGAGGCTGCTGGCACCGTTAAAAGCTGCAGTTCCTAGTGCGTCTGGCTAATAACAGCTGGCCGTGGCCATTCCTTTCCCTGCCCCAAGCTGAGCACAGCAGATCTCAAGTCTCTGCCCCACTGTGGTCGACCGGCCACGTGGGTGAATGGTACTGCCTCTGCGATGCTCCTGGGCTTTGGGTTTTGTTTTCTTATCCCAACAACTCTGTAGTACCTTGAAGAAACCTAAACTCTGTGAAGAGAGTCTGTCTGGGGCTTCCTTGGGGCCAAAGCCCCTTTCTCGTTGCCCCAGAGGGCCACGGCAGGGGTTTCTTCCACGTAGCACACAGAGATGAGTGCTCATCAGGCCAGATAACCACTGGTCTACACCCTAAATCCCTCCACGGGGATGTGAGAAGTGCAAGAGGTATTAATCAGATTCTTCATGACCTGGTTCACCTCACTCATGAAAGTAGGACTGTCTTCCCAACCCCTCGTGGCCACATGGAAAGGTTCTTAGATGAAAAGATGTTTCATCCACGGGAGTCCTGGCTCTCTGAGGCTCTCTTTTCCCCAGGGAGAGTACCGGCTTCGTGTCCCTTCATGGGTCTAGGGTAGCCATTAGGGCCGACTGCAGCCATATTCCTTCCTCCAAGGGGACGGTCCTCCTCAAACGCAAGCACAAGCCTGTCCTGTAGGTGGTTAACCCAACACTGCACATACATGTGTAAAGCAGACCATATGTGCACCTGCCAGATGCCTCCTGCACACTGCATCGGACATGTGGTCCAGAATCCTCTAAAATGTCCCCTGGCCATTACTGATATGTCACTGAAGTGTTATTACTGAAACAGGATAGCAACCAGAAGAAAGTTCAGGGCTGCAACTTCTTTTGATGTGTCTCTCGAGACCTAGTTAATCAGTACTGTCTGTGGCACCAATCTGGTTTGTGTGTGTTGGCGTGTTGAGGGTTTAAGCCCTTCCCGAGCCGCAAAAAAAAAAAAAACGTGGTAAAAAGATTTTTAAAACTGCCACAAGAAATACACACTCGTGCTGGCTGGGCCCACATGCCCCCTTGTGAGAGGAAATGTCACACACGGTTTGGTAACTTCTTGGGAAGAAAAGCTTATTAGCCTTAACTGAGGCCAAGCCCTCCATGTGCAAAAACTACCAGGCTAACATGCTATGCCTTGATCTAAGTGGTGGTCAGTACACAGGTAAGCTCATTTTGTGATAACTTATTAAGCTGTATACTTACAATGTGTGCGCTTCTCTTTATATGCCATATTTCAATAAAGATGTTTTAGGAACAAACTTAAATAAGATTAAAGTGCATCTGCATTGCTCAGCAAGAAGGAAAGCGGTATAGGGGCCGTGGAGGGAGGGGTAATTATAGTCTGGGAGAGCTGATATAGAATTCAGGCAGATGAAACCAGAGCCATGGCAACATTACTGAGGTAACACTAATTGGGCTTTGTTGGAAAAATGATCGTTGGTCTGAAAAAAATTCTGTGTTAAAGATAAATCAATTTTTTTTTTTTTTTTTTTTGGTTGTTAGGCATATATGCCGATCCTTCCCCCCACAGCAACATTATAGCAACTGGCCGGGAGATCAGAAGCCTGTGGGGCAACACACTGCCTGGTGCAGGTGGGCAAAATTTTAGATTTAGTTTAATCATGTTCTATCCTTGAGTATGTGTGGCTTGCTTAGTTTGCATAATGGCTTCTCCCATTCTTTTTTAGAGGCTGGGTGGAGATACAGGCATATAACATTTCATATACACAAATTCAGTTTCCTCTTAAGAAACAATAATCAAACCTTGAGATCAAAAAATGACAGGATGAAATTTGCTACACTTCGGCTTGCTTTAAAAGGGAGCGATCTCATGCACAATCCCCGGGAACTAAGAACCAAAAAGGGACAGGTCAACCAGGAAAAGAGCCCTACCCCCCTCCCCGAATCCAAATCAGCCATTTGATGTTTGGAGTTGTTTAGCCTCCAATTAAGGCAGCACTTTGTTCAGCTAACCTCCATTTGACCTACAGAAGAAGCGAGTTGTTTCTCTGGAGCTAGTCATTAGTTGAACTGTAACCAATATTCCCTTGATGGCAAAACTTCATTTAAGTTGAAAAAGGAAAATCAATAAACAGATGACCTGAGGACTAATGAGCAAGGAGTTCTGACCCCATCCATCAGCCTTTCCCCAGGCACGGGGAGGCCGCCAGAGAATCTGGAGACCAGGGAGGGAAAGGAGAGCAGGAGACAGAGGAAAGGCTAGGTCCGACCGCAAGATTACCTGGGAGAATGCGATCCCAAAAGCCACTCCAGCGATGATTCCCATGTTGGTCTCCATGAAACTGGTCACCAGATCATAACAACCCTGAAAACACAGAGACACGGTCTCAGAGACATGTTTCACCCAGACCAGACCGGCTGGGTTACCTCGCGACACTCCCACATACACCCCAACCTTCATTCCGCAAACAGAATGAAAAATCTGAAACATACAAACGGTACAGAACCCCCAGGTGACCCTTCCTCTAAAATCACAGTGAACATATGGCCAATCTTGTTTCATTTAAATTTCTTCAACACGCATCCCCTGGCTGGATTATTTTAAAGTAAAAGTCCCAGATATACACTCATCCACAAACGTTTCTGTTGTATGATGAAATTTAGCAAGAAGTCTGTTAGATCCATGAGGCGAATGCTGTAGGGATACAGGAGCAGACTTAAACACGTGCAAAGGCATTCTGCATCCCTGATCAGGAAAACTCAGCATCATAAACCTAGTTACTAGCATTTTGACAACAAATGACAGAATCTTAGATAAATAAAGTGAAATCCTCTGGTTAGAAGGAGGTGTTTGAATACCTGCCAACCTTATGGTATTTTAGGGTTCTTCCTACGGAGACCACTAAGTTTTTTTTTAGTAGGGAAAAACCCATATTCTAGAGTCATATTTTCCACAGATTTACTATGGGACCTTGAAGAAGTCACTTCCCCTTCTCTCTATTATGATGTCAATAACCTCATTCGTAAAATGAAGTGAGTTTCCCTTTAACATCCTGTGAAATCTCCACATGTTGTGATTAAAACCAACACCAATTTTACCAATTTCAATGTTAGTTTAATATTGATAACGTTTAATTCCTTTAAAAGAAATGGTCTGGTTGGAGTTCGACAATGTTGCTAAACTAGTTTTGTTGTTATTCTGGATTACATTTTATCAACCCAGTCCAGGTAGGACACCAAATTTTGTGCATCACTCGTAAGGCAAAGGCAAAAGCTGACTCTTCCTGTTAAAACGCCTGACAGCTCAGACAGCAGGACTTAGTGAACATCTATGTGTGTCAGTGTGTGAGTGTATTTCTGTAGTTTGGAACTGGGCCAAATCAACCTAGACTTCTGAACTGACGTATTCAGCTTTGGAAGACATGGTCATTTTCCAGTTTTCTGAAAAAGGGCCTCAACTTGAATGTATGAAGTCTGTGAAAAATCAAGACAATTTCATAAACAGGGTAAAGAGGATTACTGTTAATCAAGAAGGGCCCACTAAATTGTAATAACATCTGAGGAACAAGAACAACCAAAAACGTGTCTCCCATTTTTAAATTCAAAGTTTAATGATTTAACATTTCTCATAGAGCTTGTGAAAAGTCTGCCAATGCTGTATCTTCTAATAAATGATATTTTATGCATTCACAGCCTGTTTGCAAAGACAAAGATGCATTAATTTAGCAGCAGTGCTTTGACACATGTTTTCAATGCAATGGACAAACTATGCTCCTTAGTTACCTGATGCAAATTTGAAGGCCGGGGCAGGGGTGGGAAAGGAAATGCATTATTGCTCATGGAAAGTTTTGCAATTTGCTTCTCTCTCACTGATTTCATTTCTACTAGTGAAACTATATATCACACTATTTTCCAAAAGGTAGTGGAAAGAAAGTCAGTTCGGGTTAGGAAGAAGTCAAAGCCAGGAGAGAGGTGGATATTCTAGCACTTTCCCAAATGGCAGCAGCTAAGATAGTTTTTCTGTGCTGGTCGTCGTTCATTGCTGCATCTCCTCCCCACAGCGATGCTCGAGCCAGGGAATGAAGTTCAGACCACCGCCAGTGTTACATCAGCTCAAAATATGGAAACACAAACCCAGTAATAAAAACCAGAGAGACGTGAGGTGTGCTGTTTTCTTACTCTGCAAAATAGCTTGGGATAGGTGTTTTTGGTGTGTTTTTTTTTTGGCTGGGGGGGGGCGGGGAATAGGGGTTTTTTTCTATTTTTTTTGTTTTTGTTTTTGCTGTGAACTTTAATTCTACACATAACGGTGAATATGTTTTTCTAAAGTATGAAATCTCCTACAATGGAGCAGAAATCAGAGTCAGTCACATTATTTTTGAAAAGCCCACTCCAACCAGTAAGAGAAAACAGAAAAATGAAGTAAGGGCCTGGCATTAGTACTACTGTGGCAAAATCGTTCTCTCTAAACCTTGCTCCTCGCACCGGGGTTTTGCTACAAGCAGCAGAAGCAGCATTGCTGGGGATTTCGTCAGAAATGCAGAATCTGAGACCTCACTCCAGACCTACTGAATCAGAGTCTGCCAGATCCCGGGGTTACTCATTTTTAATGAGTTTTAATGAATGTTAACAATATCTCCAGATGTTTCACGTGCCCATTAAAGTTTGAGAAGCACTCTTCGCTAAGGAAAGTTCCTCCACTCCTTTTCATTCTAAACAAAGAGCAAATTAATAAATTAAAGCAATGAGAGAGTTACTTAAGGTGAAAAGATGAAAGTGATTTAGCTTCTTCATTGTTGTTTGAACGAAACAAGACCCAGGTTGCAATAAATGCTTTCCTTCTCCAGCTTTTCCTCTGTTATTCACTCTATGGACCCACAAGCCCATTTTCCAGGTCTCGCGGCCTAGCTCTGCAGACTGCCCGAACTGCTTTGATCCTACAACCCCAGTGCACGTTTGCCTTCCACCTCAAATTCTCCCTGAAAATTCTCCTATCTACCCACAGCGATCTCTTTTAATTTCCAAAAATGAAAGCCTGATTGTCAGGTGTGAGATCACTACAGAGACCTACTAAATGTCCTAGGAAACTCCAGAACAGGTAATTTGCTCACCCTCTCAGCAAGTCTAAATCAACAGGGCCTCTGATGGGAAACACCTGCAAGTGGCAGGCTTTTCAATAGCAGGAGTAGCACGGCTGCTTCCCGGCAGGTACTGGGAGGAGGTACCTCTGGAGCTACCAACCAGAATAACTCTCTTCCTCTTGCCCTGGCTCTTTAGAAAAAAGGCAAGGAATTCCTAGGGAGTAGGGGTAGGTCAATGCTATTAGCTAACTGAACCTGTGGACGTTTGGTCATCGTGCTTAGCAAAACCAAAATCAAAGCTGTCCTCAAAACAAAACGATAAATATCCTGCTTAACCGCTCTCACCTTCCTGCTCTCTGCCAGTGATTTGTACAAGGTAGGTTTCTCGGGCTGCCAGGTAAGAGCCCAGAGCCACTTTTCTGTGCTATCAGGGCACAGGGTTCAAGACACTAAAAGATCTCTGGGGATTGAGAATACATGTATTTTATATAACAGGATTCCACAGAACTAGGACATGGTGGGAGTTAATCTTCCTGGGGGAGGGAGTCAGTTTGGGGAGGCTAACCTTGATGAGCATCGACTATCACTACACATCTCCACCCCATCCGCATTGCTTACCTTTTGTAGATGAGGTGTCACAGACCCAGGCCTGGGAGATAACTGGTCTGAGAAGTTCAGGTGGGCATCAAATGAGAATATCTAATGAAACTTCCTAGGCAAATTTCAGTTTTCCTTCACTTTCTCTCCACAGAGGGAGCCAGGTTGGAGGGTAAAAGGAAAGTGAGAGAGAAGTATCTCTTCCAGGGATCCGAGGCGCCCAGGAAAATGTAAAGTAGGATTGTCGGTGGCGGGGGGGAGGCTGGGAGTGAGGCCAATTTGTAGGTTATCAGTGAAGTGAAAAAATGCTCCCCTATCTTTCTGGAAATCACTGTAAGGATTCTAGAGATGCACTATAGGATCTGCCTCTAAGCCTGCTTTTGAATACAAACAAAAGATCCTCCCTACAAGGACCTGCTGCATCATTTCTAATAAAAGGCACAGTGTGGTAGGGTGGAAGACAAACATCACCGTTATTGTCGTGACATTTACACCACGGCTACCATTTAACATTACAGTTAACTGTTCATCTTGTCCTTTACTCTCTGCCATGCACTGTGCTTTAGATACTTTATCTCATTCACTTCTCCTATCAATCCTAAGGGGCAAGAACTGTTATTCTCTCCATTTTACAGATGAGAAAAACAAGGCTGAGAAAGGTTAAGTAACTTGCTCAAGATCACACAGCCAGCAAGTGGCTGAGCCAGAATTTAAACTGCAGTCTGACTCCAGACTCTGTGGTCCTGACTTCGAAGCCCTCAACTTTCACAGAAGAAGTTTGGGTGAAATTTTTTTTTTAGAAAGAAGGCTTTTAGCAAGGTTGATGATTGCTGCCTCTACAAAGGACCTCCTGAGGCTCTGCGGTGCCAATATCTCACTCCATAAAGCACGTCTTGCCTTCTATACATCGGAGCATCCACTGAGTGAGTGCCAGGTCTGCTCAGCACTTCATAAAATGGCAGCATAATGACATATACGGATGCTCAGTGGAGGTGTCCATGAAGAAACCAGAAGTCACCTTGCTGATGAGAGGCGAAGGAGGCCTCAAACTCTGGGTTCATAAAAAATTCCAGTTGGAACAGATGTTCTCTTAGCTCACACAAGAAGCTGTCTGTACTGAACATCTTATCTCACCACACCAACAGCCAAGTAATAAACCCAGAATGACAAAAGGAGCTTCCAGAATATGGCAACAATGCCTTGCAGCAGTTCTGCTACAAATACCAACATTACATGGGTAAAATATAGAAACCATCTCTTAACATTCTTATCTTGAAAGGATGGCTATCTTCTGTGAATTATTCAGTAGTTGTCCCAGATCCCATAGAATTTTGAAGACCTTAGGAAACTAGAACTTTGGGATTTTCCTGGTTAAGACTCCAGGGAAGTCCAATGGTTAAGACTCCAAGCTTCCACTGCTGGGGGGCACAGGTTCAATCCCTGGTCAGGAAACTAAGATCCCACATGCCGTGCAGTGTGGCCAAAAAAAAAAAAAAAAAAAAAAAAAAAAAAAAAAAAAAAAATTCTGCCAAGAGTGGAAAAAAAAAAAAAAAAAAAAAAAAAAAAAAAAAAAAAAAGAAAAAAGAAAAGAAAACTAGAACTTTACCTTAGTAAGAAAAGAAAATTTACCTGATGGCGGCATAACCACAGGTAAACTCAACAGTAGGGTTTTTTTCCTCCCTTTTGTTTCAGCAAGACATAGTTTCTATCTGGCATTTCCCTAAATGTTTAAGAATAGATAGCCCTCACACACAGCTGTATCATGTCTTCATCAGATTCTCTGCAGAGTGGAATACAGAATTGATTTTCCTTTTCTCTACCTAAGTTTCATTTCCCTCATTTCTACTACGTACCGACTTTCAAATTTCTCTTGGCCAGTTTTTTTTTTTTTCTCTAATTTCTTTGGGAGTCAGGATGTTGAGAGTGAGTTGAAGCTGTTGATTTCTTTTCCCAATGCAGTGAAGTCCCTAAAGTCAAGGCCACCCTCCTCGCAGAAGCAGATGCTGTCTGTCAACTCAACTCCCTCCTTCCGCTGAGGACTGGCACCCAGCTGGGAATAATTTCATGTTTCGAAGGTACATTGAGCAGAAGACAGACACCCAGAAAGAAGAAAGGCCACATTCCCTGACATCAGCATCAGGGTTAACAGGAGCCACTTGCTAACCCTTCCTAACTATGCCTCGTAGGGTCTCGCTGAGGCACGGCTTTCTCCTTCAGAAGTGGGCAGCCCAGTGCCTCTCCCTGGCCAGAAGGAACCACAAAGGAAGATTCCTGACTCTCTCCAAGACTACCCTATTTGTCATAATTTCACAGAGACAAAAAAGCCCTCCCCAGACATTCACCACTGAGTCCCATCAGGGCCAAGAGGGAGCGAGTACCTTCTGGTTCACTTTAGTGGCGGCCACGGTCAGGTTGTGCAGATCCTGGGGATTACAATCGGTGTCGTTCATGCAGCAACTTGGGGGGATGCCGTGCTCCAGAAAGTAGGGGCTGGTGCTCCAGTTGGTGTAGTTCTGCACCCCGCAGCAGCTCAGCTGTTAACGGGGAAAGGAAAGGAATTAAGTGTGGCAGATCACAGGCACTGTGGTCTCTGCACTCAGCGCCTTGCAGCTTTTAAAAGAAAAACATGGGCCCAGGCCCTAAGTCGACAGGCACAGCTTTGGTGAGTCAAGATGAGCTGAAGCTCCACTAACAATTCTACTCACTGGCATACCCACGTGAGCTCAGCGGACGAAGTGAGTCCTAGATGCCATGTCGCGTTGGTTTCCACCTCCCAAAGCCAAGCAGCTGCTCTCTGGCCTGGCTAAGCATCAAAATCACCTGCGTGAATAGGTGCTGCTAAAGAGACAGACGTAGAGATCTACTGAATCAGGACTGTCGATGGGGAGCTCAGGCCAAAATGGTTTTAGAAAGCTCTCCCCAAGATCTGTACTAATACGTACATAAATGGTTTAGGGGGAAAAAAAGATGCACATGGAGGAAGAGAGAGAGTTGGTGTTGGTAAACTATAGCCCACCAGCTACCTGGTTTTGTAACTCAAGTTTTACTGGACACAGCTGTGCCTCTGTGTTACGTGTTGTCTAGGGCAGATTTTGTGCTACAAAGGCAGAGTTGAGTAGTTGTGACAGAGACTGCATGGCCTTCAAAGCCTCAAATAGTTACTACTTGACCCTTTACAGCAAAGATGTGCCAACTGCTGACATAGAGGATATGGGGCAAAATATATCATTAATCGGTGAGTCTGGGTAAAAGGGGTACAGCTCCTTGTACTATTCCTGCAGCTTTTCTGGGTAACTTTGAGATTGTACCAAAATAAATTACCAAAAACATAAAAATAAAAATACTGCTTCTGAAGTAAAAACAAAACAACACAACAATAAAAGACACCCCTCAATCAAAAACCTCTCCAGGGGCTTCCCTGGTGGGGCAGTGGTTGAGAGTCCGCCTGCCGATGCGGGGGACGCGGGTTCGTGCCCCGGTCCGGGAAGATCCCACGTGCCGCGGAGCGGCTGGGCCCGTGAGCCATGGCCGCTGGGCCTGCGCGTCCGGAGCCTGTGCTCCGCAACGGGAGAGGCCACAACGGTGAGAGGCCCGCGTACCGCGAAAACAAAAAACAAAAAAACAAAATAACCTCTCCAGATGATCCTGATGGGCAGTCAGGCTTGAGCACCTCCAAGCAGGAAACAACTACTTTCCTCATATCCTCTGAGAAGCACCATTCACGCGCCTGCAGAATCCTCAGTTGCTCTGAGATCGGCTCTCCAGCCCCACTGCACCACGCAAGCCGGTGAACACAGCTCACCTGAGCTCACCGCCCAGCCTCAAGACACCATTTCCAGAAGGCTGGTCTTAGGGAGCCAACTCGAAGTCAGGCTGTCCTACACTCACTGTTCCAAGGCTTCAGATTTTGAGGGCAAACTAGCTCTCCTTGGGATGCTCACATCTTTACGGATGAAAAGCAAACCGGAGGGAGTGGTCCTTCTTGGCACTAATTACCTGGATCCCTGGATCCTGAAAAAGTACTAGATGTCCACTGTTGGAAAAGGGAACTGGGCCAAGAGGCGGAGAGTGGGGCTCAAGAGCAAACACTGCCAGTCCAGCGTCACCGGCAGCCCACAAGTCCATGGCCCGACCTCGCAGGCCACTGCCAGCCCCATCTCCTTCCCGGAACTTACGCTGCGCTGCACGTGATCCACCGCCCGGCTCCTCTCGTCGTTGCCATTGTAATTCTGCATGGCATCAGTGTAAGTCCTCAGGAAGGTGTCCTTGATCTAGGGAAGACAAGGGGCGATGTGGTTCTGGTCCACTGCAGCCCAGATGGACACAGATTTGTACCAACTTCCACCTCAAAATAGCCTCTTCTGAAAGTCTCCGAATAAATGTAGGCCAGGGAGGGGATGCCCTGTTTTCTGAGACAAAAGAGCTCAGAAGATCGGCCAAGGGGTTTGTTAGCTCAGGAGTTTAAAAAAATGTTCCCTTACCCCCAATCCGGAGGAACCCTGCCTAGTTCAATGAGCCACTCAGGTGGCTAGTCAGATTCTGAAAGGGCTGTGATGGTTTTCTAGTTATTTTCTTGGAATTGGTTACTGCCTTTCTTTCTATAACTTTTTCTGCCCTTACTCAGAAGAATGGCAAAGGACAGGCCATTGTGTGTGGGGCGGGCAGGAAGACCTATGTTTTGACCAGAATCAGATCCCTAGTCTACCATACAGGAGTGGGGCAAAACCAGCTTTCACTTACTTGTCTTTATTGAGATGAGAAAAAGAGGCTAAAGGACATGGACTTTACCTGTTAATAAATGGTTAGCAAAACGCTTTCTCCTCCTCTGTGAACACATTTGACCTTGGGTTATCTTTCAAGTTCTGTTTTCCTGGAAACCTGCTGAAGGCGGAGCATCAGGTGTGTTACCAGGCAACCCCGCTTATGGTAAAAAAGTGCCCCGATTGGTGAAATGACTCTGGCCTGGACTTCAGCAAATGACAATAATTTTACCTGGTGGGAAGCTTAGGGCTAAATATGGTGACTCTTCTAACTAGGCGCATTCCTTGCTGAGATACTGGACGCTATGCTCATTGGACAGTTACAAGAGATAAAGAGACACTATTTACATGGAGCTTCTAAGCCAAGGTGGTTGCCACACCCAGCTGCGTCCTCTCGTTTCACTGCACGTGCATCGTCTCTTAGGTGTGGGCAGGTCTACACAGACCAGAGCCTGGACCACTTTGAGGACTCCCACTGAAGAAACAAGCCCACTGCTGCCCTGCCTGCAAGCTGTGTTTCCTTTACTGTATCCTTCTCAGTCAATGCTGCTAGGTTGTGACCTATTCTCATCATGTGGTGTGTTTGACTCTTTAGTCAAACTCAAGACCACTACCGGTGGCCGAAGAGTGGCACTGCAACCCCCAGCCACCACTTCCCTAAATGGTTTTTCAGTGAAAAGAGGTTGGGCAGGTGAGGATGTTCAGGTCCTAGGTATCAGGTTTTACCTCAGCTGAGAATAAGAATGGGGGATCTAGCTCTGGATGCAGTGCCCACATGAAATGGTTCTAGAAGTCCGTCTTGGCATCCGAGAGGCCACATCCGGTAAAGGGGAAGAGGGGGGAGAAAGCGCCTAAGGCAGGCTCACTGGGAACTTGACTTGGCCAAGCACAAAGGCAGGGCCTGGGAACAGGTGATGCCAGATTTCAAGAGCCACAGTTATCACCCTCGACCTCACTGACTTTCCTACCTCCATCTTGCTATTTCTTTCCATTCTAACACATGTGTAGCTGCTTCTATCTTTACTGTTATTTACAGGGAACAGTAATGAATTTGGGGAGTGGGGAGTTAGAACCAGAACTGTATTGTAGCGTATACACTTTCTGACCTATCATCAGTATACACATCTGAAAAGTGATACCACGGCAGCTACAGACAGCGTGAGAGCAGCTCGTCCCTGCATTAGCATCTATACGTTGTTCAAATAGAGCAGCCTCAGTGACAGGACATGGAAGGATGGCCACGTGTGACAAAGGACAGCTGGGAGTGTCCTTGAAACTAGCAGTTTTGATCGCAAAACCGGATTCAAAATAATTCTACCCAGCTGTAGAAATCTCAATTTTTACATGTAAATAAAAAACAAAGTGCAGCTTTGTAGGGGTTTTTGATCGTGACTGTCTTCTCTCCTTTTCCACACTACCAAGCCAAGCCACAGGGCTCCTCACCACTGGGGTGTGGATTTTACCCCCGGGCGGCAGGGGGCGCCCCGCAGAGGCTCTAGGGAGGAGACAGTAGAGCACAGGCTGCTTAGGGGAAATGTAGCACTTCGCCTTTGGCCAACGACTTGTCTGGCTTGCCTCTGGCCTCTGAGAAATCTTGATATACGGATATACATTTGTGCCTTGCTGAAGTGGCTACTTTTAAAGTATTTAATCTATAATATGGAAGGTCACTTTTTTAAAAGAAGGAGGAAGGACTTCCCTGGTGGCGCAGTGGTTAAGAATCCGCCTGCCAATGCAGGGGACACGGGTTCAAGCCCTGGTCCGGGAAGATCCCACATGCTGCGGAGCAACTAAGCCCGTGCGCCACAACTACTGAGCCCATGTGCCACAACTACTGAAGCCCGTGCACCTAGAGCCCGTGCTTCTCACCGCAGTGAGAAGCCCGCGCACCGCAATGAAGAGCAGCCCCCACTCGCCGCAACTAGAGAAAGCCCGTGCGTAGCAACGAAGACCCAATGCAGCCAAAAATAAATTAACTAATTTTTTAAAAATCCAACAAGGCAGAGAGTCCTTTCATGCGACAGCTATATAAAGAAATAGAGTGAGGGCCAACAACTAAGGTTTCAAGTTTGGTGAAATCCCCACCTGTAGAATTTTCTGGGCATTTCAGTTCATAGTGCCTGGCATTTGGAAACTAGCAAATACCACTGGAGATGCCAGCTAGCTTCTCTGCATCCTTTACACATTCCACGACGTTTCAAAAATCCTCCTCCCAAAGACCCTTGAACTGAGTTCTCCACTTGGTGTATACTCACCTCGTGACGAAACACAAACCCAGAAATGCCAGCCACGAGTTCAGCCAGGAACACCAGAGACAGAAACATGGCATACTGCAAAGCAAGTGGACAAGGACACAGTCAGATATGGCGGGGGGAGAACAGGGCTTCTCTGGGCTTGGTCCCTTCTTGTCAGGGGGAATTAGACAAGTTGTCATATTCCCTAGAAGGAAAAGTGGAAAAATCCCCTTCTCCAGATGTTCCCATACGAGCCTCCATATAAGCATGTGTCTGTTTAACGTGCATAAGCATTTGGGGGCACACGGGCTGAGGACAGCACATCCAGGGACCGGCATCATGCCTGTCAGCTCAGCTCAACCGGGAGAAATCTGGAAGGGCTTTTTACAACTAAGTATCCACTATTCTTAATGTGAGGCTCCTCGAGGTAGAAAGTACTCTGGAGGGCACAGGACACAGTTCCACCCTTTCTGTGAGTCCTTTAGGCCGCTTTCCTCACCAGGGTCACCTGGCGTCTGCAAGCTGAGACCACTCCCTCCCGCCCATCCCTTGCAGCTCATTCACGTTTTAAACTGTTCCGATTGCCAGAAAGGCTTCTTCCGCTTGACCACAGTCTGCCTACTTGTAAATTCCACTTACTGCTGTTGGATCTGCTTTCAGGAGACGCCAGAACCAGTGTGACCTCTCTTCCACGCCACGGCCCTTCGTCTGTGTGAATACAGCCATGGAGGGACCGGCTGCTTCTCTCAGTTCGGGCAAGCCCTCCTGTTTCCTTAAGCACATCTCCTATGAAGTGGCTTCAAATCCCCTTCCTTTGGAGTTGTAGCCCTCCCATTCTGACAGAGCGGCCCAGATGTGCACAGGCCCACGTGATACCCTTCCTAACTACGGCCTGAATGCGGCACCCGCAGCAGTGGGTCACTTACCTCTCTTGTTCTGCCTGCGGAGTTGATAGCCTTTTGAAAAGCAAATCAGCTCCGCTGCTGACCCACAATGTTCGCAAGCATCTAAAACCCCCAGTGCTTCTTACACATTTCATGCTTCCTGTACTTTCCAAGTCGATTGTGTGTGTGTGTGTGTGTGTGTGTGTGTGTGCGCGCGTGCGCGCGCGCACACATGCAAGTGCCTAAGTTCAGGGATATTATATGGTACTTCTGAGACATTAAGGGTTTCCATTTTTGTGACCGAAAAGTAGATAAAAGGAAGGAGAATTGATTCCTCTCCCACGAGGCATATGTCTTAGAATCTGCTTCTTCTCATCTCAAAATGAAATACAACGCTCCAGAACGTTGGGAATGGCCCTTGGTGATGCCCTGGAATTTGAGTACACTGCACGTGGCCATACTGCTTACTTGTAAAGTGTACGTATGTCTTGTAAAGTATATGCGTGCGCATGGGATCATAAATTATTTTTCTCAGCCGGGGGCACATATATTCAAAGGAGGAAATACTGCCTTAAAATGCTGGTTTCGTTCAAAATATTACTAAAAGTCTCTCCGCACACTGAAAGCACAGACACTAAAGTATCAAACACACAGTTATGAATAGAAGGCTCCACGTACACGACTTCTCTCTCTCAACTTGGTACAAAATGCAATTAGAAGCACAATTTACTCTAGGGAGACTCTCACCCCAGGCCTAGACTCCACCAGAAAGCCCTGCGAGGAAGTAATCATCAGGAGGCAGGTGGGTGAAAGAACTTTTGACTCTGTGGTGTAGCTCTTAGGAAAGGGGCCACGGTTCTGGGCCTCCATAAAGTGAAAAGAGTTATTTTCAATTGTTTTGCAATTAATGAGGTTAAATGAGGGCTGTAAAATTTTAGATGGACAGCTAATCAAGTGACTTCTGCTCTGTTCAGCTAGATCAGGAGTTTCACGTCCCTAGGAGGTTCTCTGCTTCTGGAAGCTTCCAGAGGAGAGCTGCTGCTCCTTCAGAAGGCCTGCTGGGGAGAGCCTGTATTAAATCCAGGTGGCAGGGTTCAAGTTTTCTCCAAATGAAAATACTGGAGTAGAAACAGTCCTGGCTTTCGAAAGACACCTATCTGGTTTCCCATCCCAGCTCTCTGCACGTCAGTTGTGTGAACTTGGACAAGGTATTTCACCTCCAAGTCTTTATCACATAACATGAAAACACAACGTGAATTTTATGGCGGTGGCGAGGAATAAATAAAACGGAGTATGCACACAGGACAACGTCGAGCGGGTAAAAGGAACTAAAGGATAGCTTTTAGAAGACCAAAACCAACACCAAGCCCCCCAAACTTCTCTACTCGCCAAAAGGGTCACTTGCTAGTAAGCTCACAAGTGTCAGGAGAAAGTGGCAGCATGGTATGAAACCTTCAGAAGAAGCCAGAGATGACTGTTCCATTGTTGCATGCCCACTTCTGCCTGCTTCAGTCATAGTCTTTGGGCTGGAAGAAACCTTGGTGGGTTAGTCCAATACTGTTCTTTCATAAAAGGGGACGAAGGTCCAAAGAGGTTACATCCTTGCCCCTCAAGACTTAAGCCACTTAGCATCAGGGTCAGTCAGGTCTCCAGGTCTCCCCCCTTCTTGTTCGGACAGATGGATCTTTAGCAGTCTTTGTTTTCCATGCCTCTGGAGTTAATTCTTCCCTTGCTACTCACTGTACTGAAGAAGAGGGTCTCAGCACTGGCTGTGCAATGGCACCCCTGGAGAGCTTTCAGAAAATGTGAAGCCAGATCCTGACCGTCACAGCTTCTGGTTCCATTGGCTGGGGGCTGGCCTCTGGCAGAGGTGTTTTTAAAAAGCCCAGGTGACTCAGGCACAGATCAAAGTTGAAAACGACAACACCAGACCAAAAGGAAACACTCGCGCCTATAAGAGGTACTGGAAGGTAGACTCACAGTGCTAATGCAGGTGACAGCAGCGGAAGCGCCTCCATATGGTCTCACTACAGCTTCTCCACCAACCTGGAAGGATTAGCTGTGGCCAGGCTATCAGCTTCCCACATGGTCTTCAGGACAGAAAATGGCCAAATCAAGCACGACCTCCATCAGGTTGCCAACAAAGAGACTGACCAGTGCCCATTTGGAAGGTGCTTCCTTTGGAGTGAATCACCCTCACACCCGTATCTGTCACTAGATGGTATCATGGGTTACTGCAATCTAGGGCTAAACAAGAAAGGACGGGCCACCCAGCACCGAGGGAATCTCTACTCTCCCCTTTCAGAGAACAAGACGTCTGAAAGAAATCCTTTTAAACAAAATTTTCTTTTCAGGAGAGGCTCTTGCTGCCTTTTATCTGGGAAAGCCTTCCACATAAACTCTCATTAATGAAAAGCATGGGCAAGAGACTAGAAAATTAGGCAACTGGTCTACCAGAAAGTTAAGACTTACAGCAGCAGCCTTTCAACAGCCTATCCTTACCCTTTGGGAAACATCACTGCTGTGTCTGTTGAGCGGGGAAGCTCTGGCTTAGCTCAACTCCCACTGCACGGAGCCAGGCTGTGCAGGCATAGAGGAGAGCGTGCCCGCGTATCCCAGCACAGCACAGCCCAAGGAGGCAGAAAAGTATTTCTCCACTGGGAACTTGGAAATGAAAGGCTGCTCATGTTCAGGGTGCTGCCTCACCCACCAAGGCTGCACCTCACATGCTTCAAGAGATTTCTAAGACAGAATTCAAAACTGGAACAGGGCATCTTGCCACGAGGCTATAAATGGCTTATTAGAACCGCTGGCCACTGCTTTGTCATCATCTACCTTGAGGGACCAGGACGGGATTTTTTTGTGTGTCAGGCTGTATCTGGGGTTGTTTCTCCCTCTAGGGGATTAAAGGGTGGGTTAGGTAAAAGCCTGCACTAAAACTAGAGTCAATGACTATTAAGGACTCGTCTGTGGCTGCAAGAAGGGCCACTTTGCTTTCACGTGATTTATATTTTTACAAAACAGAATCAGAAAGCAGTATTACATTGTGGCCTACTCACCAGTTTCAGCATCCATGGGCTACCACGGCATGTGGCAAAGCATCCAAACAGGCCAAACACGACAATAGTGGTGCCAGTTCCGATGAGCACATAGGGAGCATTTGTGGAGTTCTCGGCAATAAGGGAAATATAGGTGCCCAGAGTGAGTTTGCCCCAGACTCCAACGGCCAGCAGGATCACCCCAGTGATCTGAAAAGAAGCAGGAGTGAGAAGTGTGAGACTGCTGCTGAGAGGTGAGAATTAACACAGAGCAACGTGGCTGGAATCTGAAGACTCCAGTTTCCGGGAGCAAGCAGGTACTTGCTGCAGGATTCCCTGAAGCAGTGGGAGAGGCCAGAGCCCATGGACTAAAGCCACCACACAGTAAAGACACTTTGATTTTGGACAACTAGATCTGTCCCTTTCACAATCCCATATGCAGGTACCATATCAACTGTAAGTCAAGCCAACACTAAATAACTTAAAAAAAAAAAAGCTGCTTAAAAAGTACACCCTAGGGACTTGCCTGGTGGCGCAGTGGTTAAGAATCCTCCTACCAATGCAGGGGACACGGGTTCAAGCCCTGGTCCGGGAAGATCCCACATGCCGCGAAGCAACTAAGCCCGTGTGCCACAACTACTGAGCTTGCGTGCCACAACTACTGAAGCCCGTGCACCTAGAGCCCGTGTGCCACAAGAGAAGCCACCGCAATGAGAAGCCCGCGCACCGCAACGAAGAGTAGCCCCCGCTCGTGGCAACTAGAGAAAGCCTGCGCGCAGCAACAAAGACCCAACGCAGCCATAAATTAATCAATTAATTAATTCAATCAATCAATCAATCAATCAATCCTAATACAGGTCTGAGAGCCTTCCCGGATCTGGTCTGGGAGCTGCTGCTCAACGCAGAGCTGGGCATGGCTCCAGTAAGAATGTCAGCCGCCCTCTTCAATGGCATGTGTGTATACGGAATATTTTAAAGACATCCTACGTGATGTTTTCAAGAACAAGGTGATCTTCTTTGACCATCATGACGAAAATCTCTACAAAAGCAAAATACTGAAACTATTTTTGAATCCCTATTGATGTGCTGCCTTAATATTTTATTCACTATAAAACAACAGAAGAATCTGAATAGTGCCTGGAATTAGCTGTACTACAATTTGTCAAGTCGCGCTGCTAGGCCCGAAGGAAATCCCCACAGTGTGTCTGCACCATAGAGCCTTGCATCACTCGGGCCCTTACTCCAGGGCATAGACTTGGGGCTGTGTGCCATGCCTGACTCACCATCCCCTGCAGGCCACACACCCCAGGAGCCTTAGCTGCTGAAGCCAGTGGCTGACTTTGTGTCTCTAGCTCCCCAGCCTGTCTCTCCCTCAGTTTACCAACAGCTGAGCAGCTCATTCGAACTGACATCCCTCCAGCTGCCACCACTTCTGACATTTTATGAGGCTCGAAAAAAGCTTGGATGTCCAAGGAAGCCCTTCCCCAGTTTCTCCCACCCTATCCTCCGATGCCCCACACCAAATGCCTCAGCTCCCTGTGCAGCCTGCCCATTCAAGTGAGGAGGCAAATAAAAAAGACTGACAGAAGAAAGGATAAAGATGTGGCTATATGTACACAATGGAATATTACTCAGCCATAAAAAAGAATGAAATAATGCCATTTGCAGCCACATGGATGGACCTAGAGATGATCACACTGAGTGAAGTAAGTCAGACAGAGAAAGACAAATATCATATGATATCACTTATATGTGGAGTCTAAAGATGATACAAATGAACTTATTTACAAAACAGAAACAGACTGACAGATATAGAAAGCAAACTTATGATACCAAAGGGGAAAATGGGGGATAAATTAGGAGTTTGGGATTAACAGATACATACCACTATATATAAAATGTAAACAACAAGGACCTACTGTATAACACAGGGAACTATATTCAATTATCTTGTAATAACCAATAATGGAAGAGAATGTAAGAAAATGATTTATTTATTTATATATATGTAAACAAAAAAAAAGTGAGGAGGCAGGATGAGAAACTGGTGAAAACCTGTATGACACAAATCAATACCCGCCTCTCCAAGGTTTCCCCGTCAGTCAACAAACACACTGTTCCTTAATGTCCGTACGTGAACACATACCAGTACACGAGGAAGCAAATGGCTGGGCCAGTGGAGATGCCTAGGTGCTTCTCTCTGTACACTTCCTTCTGCAGTTTGGAGCCATCAAGCTCCACCATCAGATTGTTTCTCTGTGCAGGAAAAAGAACAGACCCTCCACCTTCCCCCATATCAGCCGAGAGTGGGCTCCACCGGCTTGGGGGATGGGATCAGTGGAAGCAACAAGAGCTTTGTGAAACTGCCCTACCCCCATCCCGATAGCCTCCCTACTTTGTAGAACCATCACCATGAAAGACAGAATTAAAAGCTTTAAAGTAGAAAAAGGTCGAGGAACTTGTGCTACTTTTATAAGGCAAAGGTGAAGGAATGTGATGCAGTCTTGAGGAAAAAGTGTTTGACACTAATATTTGGGAGAAAGTGGCCCAGTGGAGGTCTACCGCCTTTGAAAAGTCAAAATGGGCATGGCCTTAGCGAATTAGGAAAACCAAGAATGCATTTGTTGCCAAGAGTTCCAAGTCCTGTACTGACACCTGGTGGTTGCTGAAGAAAGTACCTTCCTTGAACACCTGCCGTACTCCTCCAAATGGAAACAAATGCTTGTCCTCCACTAAAATCAAAATTTAAGATTCAACTCTCTACTCATTAGGGGTAAGAATGCAGTGAACATTAGGTAGAAAGGACAGCGCTTGAGCTATCTTTTATTACTCAACGCTTAGCACAGTGCCGGGCACAGAGTAAAGGCTTAATATTCATTGACAAATACATTTCATTCCTCTGGGTCTTAGACCTCCATTTTATAAAACAGGGTCTTTCACATGCCAAATACTTGCAGAACTTCTCCATCAGGTAAATTCTGAGAGGTAACTTAACATGAAACCAAAGAGAATCTTTCTCCCCTACTTCCCTCTCTGGCATTAACTGCCTAAAGCTGTAAATATTACAATGTAAGTGCACTGAACAAAACCAAAAAATTCAGTTAAACTACTCATCGTTTAGGCCGAATATGTCTCATCCAGACACTTGCAATTTCATGATTGCCCCCAAAGATTCAGTCACCTTTCAGACATACACTGAGTAGCTGCATTCTATACTCTACTATTGTCAGTCATTATTGGAACACAATGGCTTTTTTTTTTTTTACATCTTTATTGGAGTATAATTGCTTTACAATGGTGTATTCGTTTCTGCTTTATAACAAAGTGAATCAGTTATACATAAGCATATGTTCCCATATCTCTTCCCTCTTGCGTCTCTCTCCCTCCCACCCTCCCTATCCCACCCGTCTAGGTGGTCACAAAGCACCGAGCTGATCTCCCTGGGAACACAATGGCTTTAATGAAAGTGTCTATTACTCACCAAGTATAAGAGTCCGATATTATATTTCTGTCACCAGTGATTTCATGAAGTTCACTTACTACCCTAACAAAGATTATATGCAGTAAGTCAAAGTTAACACAAATTCTGCTTTTAAGGCAAACAATATTAACGTTTTTATTCCTTTTCTTTCAAAAAATAATTTCTGCAAATGCAGTCATTGCTTTGTGTATAAAACCTCTCCTCATGGAAAGTACAAAGCCTATGATATCAACTATTTTTGCAGACCTCCAAGGGTGCCTCTTAAAGATTGCCAGTGGGTGCAAACAAACACAACATTGTGGGCACCATATTGCTTGGGAAAAAAGCCACCCAATGTTTTGACCTTGACCAACTCAGACATCCTCTAAGGAACTCCTCCTCTGAATGAGGTAGAGACTGGGATAGACCAGCCTCTTCCAGCACCTGTGCGCCAGGAATCTAAAAACCAGCCAGAGGAAGGTCCTTCTCCAATGTTGCTCTTCTGCTCAAACATTCCCGACGGGCCAGCTCTGTGTTTGGAAGCCTGAACTCCAGAGAGGCAAGTCCTTCTGCACAGCCCAGACCCACCTCATCTTCCTCACTAGTCTTTGTCAACTCTATGTACTTCCAGGAAAACGGAGTCGTCCTCTGTGCGCTTCCTGTACTCGACTGCTTCTCAACCTTTGCTCGTGATGATCCTCTGACCTAGAACCCTTACCCTTCCTATCACTACCTGTCTACATCCTAAACTCTTAGGGTACCCTGGACGCCCTCCTCCCAGCCTCCTTAAACAGAACTTACTTGGAAATATGCCATCATCATGCTGCACCCCATCCCCCTCCCATGCACGTCCAAGACTGTGAGCCCCTCAAAAGCAGGAGCTCTGGGCTTTGTGTACAGTCAATGCCAAGTACATGTTTGCTGCATGAATGAACCAGCATCTGATTGTAGAGTTAAAGGGGGAGAAGTTTCATGTTAGCCATCCACCTGCTATATACCCTCTGGACATCTCTGAGGAAATGGTAGAACGCCCATCTGAGCAGGCATCATAATCTGGGGGGAAATAACTGTGATAAGGAAAATGGAGAAGAAAATAAACAGACAATGGAGGAAAAGGTTGGGCCACAGTACACCCTGAAGTGAGGAAAGCCATATTTCGTGGTGGTACTGGTGGTGGACTCGGGGTGAGTCTTGGAAGAAATTTCCAGGCAGTTGGAGGAAAAAAACTACAAGCAAAGGGCTAAAGAGCCACAAAACACAATAAACAAGTACTTATTCACATTTTTTCCCACTATAATAATGCTTCTTACCAAGGATAAGAAACATACAAAGACAAGCCAAAGACAAAAGTCATTGTGGTCTGCAGGATTTTTTTTCTTGGTTCCTGTTAACACACACAGCAACACTCACCCCTACACGTGCCTCGATGAGCACCCACAGAGTGCAAAGTAAAGGACAGGTTCTCTTCACCTCTCTCTTCTGCTCTGGGGTGCAATGAATGAGTGGGTTCAGAGCTCGCCAAAGCAATTTTGCGTCTCAGATCTTCAGAGACCTCAAATTCCGAAATCAAGCAGTGTGTCACCGATTTTGGCTTTCTCATGGAAGTTTTGCTTCCTTCTCAGAAGAACCAATTAGCAAGCAGCCAATAGTGTGGCCAAGGAGGGGACAGATCAGAGCCCATAGATAAACCACGCAAGTGGCCTGGTGAAGGCCCTGCCACCTTACAGGCTCCCGCCTCAACCACAAGCCA